GAATTTTTGGTACATCCCTGAACTCACACACTCGTCCCCATGTGTTTAACAACTGTGTCATGGGGCCACACTTGATGTCCAATGGCCATTCTGGGATTATCCCTATAGAATTCATTTTCCCTCCCATCTTGTTTTGGAAGTTATGTTTTGTTTTTTGTAGATTTTGTTTTTGTTTTGGGGGTGTGGTTTTTTTTTCTCCTGGCTGACTCAGTAATTTCTGAAGTTCAGACCCAGAAGGAAAAAGCCTTCTGCATGCACACACACTTCACAGTAAAAGACACTCATGTGGACATCAAACATATGAAGAAATGCTTGGGGTCACACTATCCATTTTTGTTGTTATTGTTAAGTGCTGTCAAGTTGATTTCGACCCATAGCGACCCTGTATAGGGTTTTCAAGGAGCAGTTAGTGAGTTTGAACTACCAACCTTGCAGTTCAAACAACTTTGCAGTTGACGTAATACCCTTCAACACCACACCAGGACTCCCACTATCCATTAGAGACATGGCACTTGTTTCTTAGGGGATATATACCAAGTAGAGAGATTACTGGCCCATAATAGACATGTAAATCAAAATAATAAGAAATTTCATCTCACCTTAGATTGAATATCCAAGTTAACAAACAAATAAATAGATGTCTAAATTAAAACAGAAAATGCAGGTAAATGTGTGGAAATACTGAGGTATTCCTACATTACTCATGAAACCATAAAATGGTGCAAACACAGTGGAAAACAGTACAGCAATTCCTCACAACGTTGGAAACAGTAACGCATTATGGGCCAACAATCACTCAACTTGATATATACACCCACAAGAAACAAGAACCATGACACAAGTGGATATGTGCACACTCATGTCTGTCACAGCATTATTCACAATGGCAAAAAGATGGAGACAGCCTAAATGTCCAGCAACTCAAGAAAGGATAAACAAACTTTGCTACATACACACAGTGGAATACTGCAACCACCAAAAAATAACGATGAAACTGTGAAATACCTCATAACAT